ATGGTCGGGATGGTATTACGCGTTCGCTTGGCAAGTCGCCCATAAGATAAGTTGAGTCTTTAGGATTCACCCTAAAGCAAATAATGTATTTTTGAGTCACCGATTTTACTGCTTGTTTTCCGCGAAGTGGCCAGTATTTTTGACGTAAAAAAGATAATGTGGTATTGGGACCACCATGTAAGGATCTCTCATGCTCGCGCACAATAATCAAATGTGTCAATTTATGCTTGCTCGGTAATAAAATCGGGTGTTTTTGGCCATAGTCAAACTCGGCATTTTTCAATCTTCCCCCTACTCGTATAAGCTCGGTATTTGGATCATAGAAAGGATTTAAAGTCTTTAAGTTGGCTCGAGTTTTTTATCAATTTTTTGTTTTTTAAACGAGTATAGTCAATTTCAAAGTTTTGAATTTGTATAATTTTAATCACAAAATTTAGGCTATTCTGAATTTCTTCATTGAGAAGCGGGGTTTCCAAACATCTTTCAGTTTTATTTCTTTTAGCTAAAATGTTATTTTTAAATCTTAAAATATAAGCGACGATTCGGATTAATTTGTTCAACCTCGAGTATTTCTCGATTAGATGATGAATGAAATCATAATTTTCAAAAACTGTTAAACATGTAGAAATTATTTTTCTTTTTTCGAGTAGCTCGGGCTCTAGATTTGAGGTTTTTTGCAAATTTAGCTGTGGCCAGTTTTGGTTTTCTTCAAGTAAAAAGCTTGGCCCGTGCCACCATAGGTTGTTTTCGCTTAAATCATTTAATTTTGAGCCCCTTGTAATGAAATCTGCAGGATTTAATATCGACGGCACATGACGCCAATATTTAATTTGGGTGTTTTGTTGAATCTCGGACACCCTGTTACCAACAAAGGTTTTTAAAGTTTGAGGCTCGCTCGATATCCAGTACAGCACTATCGTGGAATCAGTCCATAGAAATGTAGAGTTAATGTTTAATCGTAATTCTTGCATGCATTTTTTAAATAAACGACTGAGAAGCAACGCTCCGCATAGCTCTAACCTAGCTAGAGTGATTTGCTTTAAAGGCGCGATTCTTGACTTTGCACAACAAATGTGATTCAGTGCTGCCTTGGCAATCAATAGAGACTAAATAGATTGCGCAACCGTACGCCTTTTCGCTAGAATCGCAAAAACCGTGAAGCTGGATGGTTTGCGGATATTTTATTAGAGTTTTTCGCGGTATTTGAATTAGTTTGCCTTCAGACATTTCCGAGATGAACATGGACCACTCTGTATGTATGTGTTGCGGTAAACTTTCGTCCCAGGAAACATTGAGTTTCCACAAACTCTGCATAATGATTTTTGCACGGACTGTTATCGGACACAATAGACCCATGGCGTCAAATTGTTTTGCAATAAAGCTTAGCATAGATCTTTTAGTGATACGTGGCGGATTATTTTGTGGAAAGGCGTGAGATTGATATTCAAAACAGTCGAGACTAGGTTTCCAAGAAATTCCTAAAGTTTTAGTGTTTGAGTCGTCAGATATTATATAATCTTTAGAAATTTGAATCGATGTTAATTTTGGAGCTAGATTTTGTAAGATAACCGGATCATTCGATTGGAATTTTCTTAGCTCAAAGCCATAAGAGGATAAAATTTGACAGATATTTTTGCCTAAATCAATTAACGAATCACGGTCGCTACTTCCTGTTAATAAGTCGTCCATGTAAAAGTCTGATTCAATTATTTTGCACTCGATGGGATAGGAATTTTTATTCTCGATTGATATTTGTTTTAAGCACCTAGTCGCTATAAAGGAAGCTGAAGCTGTTCCATAAGTTAAGGTATTAAGTTGATAATGTTTTAATTGCTGGCTGGGTTCAGTACGATAAACTATTCTCTGTAAGCTGCGCTGATCTGGATGAAGATTTATCATCCTGTACATTTTTGAGATATCTCCGATTAATGCAATTTCGTGCGTCCTAAATCTTAAAATAATCGAGAATAAGTCACTTTGTATAGTAGGGTCAACTTTTAGCACATTATTCAATGACAAGCCTGTGGAAGTTTTATTTGAGGCGTCGAACACCACTCGAAGCTTGGTGGTTAAACTCTCTGGTCGTTCTATACAGTGATGGGGTAGATAATAAATTGGATTAATACTTGACGCTAAATTCGAAGTAATTTCAGCCATATGATCTAGTTCCGCATATTCTTTCATAAAATTTTGATACTGAGCCTTTAATTCACGATTTTTAGATAATTTTTGTTCGATCGATAACCATCTGCTTTTTGCCGATTGCTCAGATTCACCTAAGTTCACGTAATTCGATTTAAGAGGTAATTTTATAACAAATTTGCCCGATTCGTCTCGCGTTGTTGTTTGCTCAAAATGCAATTCGCATTCCTGTTCTTCCTGCGATAAAACTGGCTTATTTTCAACTTCCTCGATCCGCCAAAATTTTTCTATTTGGTTAGTCAAGTTATCTAGGCTTTCAATTTCATTAGAAAATGGATTCATATTCAGGAAACAGTTTGTATTTAAGTTTGAAAATGTTTTGTTTTGAGATTGTGGTATTTTTCCGGTAACTAGCCATCCGATCCGAATACGCTTTTTTGCAATAGAGGAAGATTTTTTCCGAGCTGTATTTGGCCAACACACAACAAATCGTAAAATATACTGCCACCTATTAACATTTGAATTTCTGATGGCTCGTTGAATGTTGGATCCGCTAAGTTTATTTCGCTAGGTATTGATAGGTTAGAAATGTCTATAAAATGCTGCGGGGTACTATCTGATATTTTTCCGATTATTAGGCACGATATTTTGGAGAAAAAACCGCTGTTTGTAGATGAAATATTTACAAAAGTCTGCTCAGTTATGTTCGTTTTAACATTATTTATGCTACATACAGGAATTTGCACTTTATTTATCGGTAAGTTTAATTTTTGAACTAGGGTTTTCGTTATAAAATTCGATTGGGAGCCGTTGTCCAATAAAACACGACATTTTACGTTTTCGTTTAGGCTATTTTTTACGTTAATTATAGATGTTGACAAGAGTACCGATGGTTCCTTTTTTAGGCTTTCGTTGAATGATGAATAGTTTTGATTATTTTGGGTACTTGCGCTTTGATTACTATTTTGCACCGAATTATTTTGCGTATTGATTTGCACTTCTGCCTTCGGACTATTTTGCGAGTCAGATGTTTGAGATTTCACGAAATTGTCTTGGTGCAAAAGAGTCGCGTGCCTTTTATCGCATCGCTTGCAGGTTGATCTAGTCTGACATTCTACAAATTTGTGGTTTGTGCGAAGACAATTAGTGCACATGCGCAACTTTTTAACTTCTTCGAAACGTTGATTCACCGGCAATTTTTTAAATTTCTCGCAATAATATATGTAATGATCGTTTTTACAGTATGGGCATTTTATGTTTAAATTTTTATTATCTTGATTTTGCGTGTAAAAAGATTTATTGTTTCTGTTAATATTAGATGCCGTAGGTTTAACATCAAGATTTTCTAAAATTTGGCATCGCTGCGATAAAAAATCAGTAAAGTTTTCGATAGTGGGATAGGGCATGTTTTTACAGAATATTTCCCACTCACGTTTGTTGTTATAGTCTAACTTAGATACTAGTAAAAAAATCAAAATAGAATCCCAATATTCAACTTTTTCTCCCATGTTTTCTAATTCTAAGTAATTTTTCTTAAAAGTATCAAAAAAACTTCTTAAGAAGACTGCGCTTTCCCGCGTAATTTGAGGTAACTCGAATATTTGTTTTAGGTATGCATTCATTATAAGTTTTTGATTGTCATATCTGTCATTCAACATTTTCCACGCTATATCGTAATTATCATCCGTGATCGTTATAGAAGATATTATTTGCGCAGCTTCGCCCTTAAGTGAGTTTTTAAGATGCTGTAGTTTTTCAACTTTAGGTATCGATTTACTATGCACCATCGCATTAAAACTGTCATGGAACGATTGCCACGAGTCATACGATCCCGAAAATTCTGGCATTTTTAATTGAGGCAATCCATAATTATGATTTATTGGAGCCGCTACTGTTATGTTTGGGACAATATTTTGATTTGAGGTTTGCCCTATATTTTGAGATTTCTGAGATTCATCGTATTTTTTTATTAAAACTTTTGCCTGCCCTGTAGCCGCGTAGTACCTATTTTCGAAATCCAGTCGCTCTGATTCCCATTGCTCTTCGTCAACGGAATCTAATTCTGCGAGCTGAACTTCTTCAATTTGAGTCTGATATTCTTGAAAGCAGTTTAATAGGCGTGTGACGGTTTCTAAACGGGTTTTTAGCTGCTCAAACGAGTCCGTATCTACGTTAAAGGTATTTAAATAATTTTGAAAACGTGTGAGTTCGCTTTTTACATTTCTGCGTTTTAGCTTTAGCCTATCGATTACAGTTGTCATTTTAACGAAATTTCAAAAAAACTCGGTTTTCAATCGATACTAAACATGCAAATGAGACGCCACTGCCTAACAAACAACTATTTTTTATTTTATTTTAAAATTTAATTAAGAAAATCGAAAATCTAACCTATTTTGAAGCAATTTTACTGGTAAAAGGAATATGTAAACTTGGATGAAAAACTTGGATAAATACTTTTTAAAGGACTGACCTTTATTTTGCTGATTTTTTGACTGCCATCCAGCGATGAAGGACCATAATGTTGGATTTTGCCCACTTTACTTTATTACGGATGCAAAATCGCTGATTGAAATAATCGATTAGTCACGTTTTCTTTCCTGAACAATAATTTATTGAGCGAAATTACAAAATACTGAGGAAAAACAATAATTTTGTGCTACAAAACAAAGCAACGTGTTTTTCGGTTTGTTGTTGGATGCTTATTCTTTTCTTCACCGTGACAGTGATGACGCAATTACAAAGATGACCAGCGTTGCCAGATTTATTTTTAGTTGTAACACTGCGGGTTGCCGCTAGATTGACTCCGAACAGGACCGCGCCCTGATTCCTACGACGCACAAACACTTTAGATGCTTTTTTCACCAAAAAAACTTTATAGAGTGCGAACAACGGCCGTATGGTGTTATAAAAGTAGTCAAAAGTTGACTTTCTTCATTTAACTTGATTTGATAGAAACCACTTGTTGTGTCTAGTTTTGAAAAGTATTTTGAGCCACTTAGTTGGGACAAAGTATGCTCGATTTTGGGTAAGGGGAAGTGAGACCGGAGAACACTTTCATTCAACTTGGTATAGTCACAACATAAGCGAACTGTATCGCCTTTATCAACACATACTATTGGACTAACCCATGTAGTTGGAGTCTCAATTGGCTCTATAATATTGAGTTTCAATAACCTATCTAATTCTGTCTTTAGCTTAGGGAGCAGGGCTAAGGGCACGGTACGAGGTACAGATTGTACAAACGGCTTAGCGTTTGGCTTAATCTGGATTGACATTTTATTTTTAAATTGCCCTATTTCACTAAAAATACCCTGAAACTGTCTAGAAATGCTCTCTAAGGTAAATTTAGACAAACTGTCCTGATTTTTCCTACAATTAAAATTATAATCGCTAATTAAACAAACATTTTTAGTAGGAAAATTTAGAACCTTGAAACTAATTATAGCATTTCTTCCCAAAATTGGCTGCCTTAACTTCCTAACTACATAAACGGTCTCTTGGTTCGTTTTACCCTCATATGTTAAGTTGACTTTTATTTTACCCACTGTATCTAACCTATGATTGTCAGATGCTCCCACAGGCTCACATAAAATTAACTTACTTATGAATTCATCAGGTAACAACTCATAGGGAAAACAACTGACATCTGCCCCAGTGTCTACGAAAAACGGAATCTTATGTTTATTATCAAGTAGAATGTCTACATACCAACGGTCCTGTTTATCAAGGTATACTTGACCAATAAAATTTCCAACTCCGTTTTCATCCTTGGTTACCTGTGAAACATTCTGCTGTTCCTGCTCCTCAGAACTCAATTCAGAATCACTGTGCTCTACTGCACGTACTGACTTTTTATTTCTGCACATTACACTCCAATGTCCCCGTTTCGCGCAGGCACGACAAATTGACGATTTTGCTGGACATTTGGCTCTGTCTTCACATGTACTCAAACCACAGAATGCGCATCTTTTTGTACGAACCCTGGACGAAGCAGAAGGCATTTCTTTTGATTTGAAATTTTGACCTGTGTTTTGACTACTGCTTTTTATTGCACTGACCGATTGCTCTTGTCTGATTATTTTATTTTGGGTACCCTGTAATTCGGCCTGCCTCACCGCTGTAATCGCTTCGCACAAGATTAATTTGTCCCTTAACTGAAGCCGTTCACTAACTTTTTCATTAGCTACACCTATGACGATTCTGTCACGTATCAGCTCTTCTTTCAAGGCTCCATAGTCGCAGTGCTCTGCTAGCGCATGCAAGCTGGTTATGAAATTTTCGACTGGTTCACCGGGTCTCTCTCTGCACCCTCGAATTAAACTTATATCGTTCAAAAATCACGTTTCTCTGTGGAATAAAATGTTTATCAAATTTAACCAATATCTGAGCATAAGTTTCAGTGGCTGAAATCTTCTGCTGCATCAAAATCTCCTCAGCTTCGTTACCCATGAGATAAATAAGCATGTCGATTTTTTCTTTATTAGATTTCTTTCCAAAACCACTTACTGACATATAACGCTCAAAGCGTTTCTTCCATTGAGGCCACTGTTGTGGCTGGGAAAAATTGAACTCGGCTGGCGCCTGAACATTCGCAAACATTTCCAGCGACGACCCAGCTGTTTTATCATCATCTCCGGGCATCTTTTCTCCTTTTTTTTTATAACAAAACACTTATCACTTGCCTAGTATCTTCCAGGGCCGATTCGCAAAATAGGTTATATTTTTTTGATTAATTTCCACAGAAGAGAACAAACCCCAAGAATCAAGATTCGATCGCTCACTCACGGTCTTCTTTAACTTCCGTGAGGCACCGCTGCCACCATGTCGTATTATCTTCGGTAAGAAATAGTACTTGTGTATTTAATTAAGGGTTTTATTCAAAATTCTATTACATGTTTCATTGACTAGAGATAGGTACCCCCGTGACACTCTCTGACAGGTCGCGTTGTCTTGCCAACTTTCCTTACTCCCAGAGCTCTGGAGTAAGACGTGTAGCTATACATCAGGCCTAATGGCACAAAACTCAATATCAAACTACAGAGAAATATCTTTACTTTATGTTGCGGGAAAGATACTTACCAGGATATGTTATGTTACGCTACTGCTTTGCTGCTACTGTAGCGCCACTGATCTGCAACGAAGCTACCACACCACTTATTCAGCATTCCGCTTACTCAGCATAGTTATTAAGTTTAAATATTATATTATATTTTCTATCTTTTTCTCAGAGATCATTCTTGATTCAACCTCTAAACAAGATTGTCAATCGGGATTTTTTTAACTTTAATTTTAAAGTCAATCGAGACCTAAATATTGTTAATCGGGTTTTAGTACTAATATGTTACGTTTTGATGTGTAATTGTTTAATAAACTTTACAACGGAATAAATTGATGCCAAGAGACTTGTTTCTTCTCCCTAAATAAAAAAACTAAACAAATTTTGTTAACTAGGGTAAAACGAAAATCTATACAGAGTGATATCAATCGTTTCAGATTGCATCTGCCAGCATCGTAAGTAGACAAGTTTTCAGAAGCATTTTCTAGATTTTATTTCGTACTTATCATCATACCTATTGTACCTGATACCCGAAGTCAAGCTAGCTCACGTCCCGAATCCCCTCAAGAATCTTTACATCCAGATAACGATGACAATAACGCTACTATTCATGATATTCGCGCAATCATTTTAGAAAATTTTGATGGCGTAAACTCTTTGATTTTTTACAAGACTGTGATCAAGCATGGAGTTTACAAGCGTCTGCGGATCACACGGAGGCAACGCCACGAATACAGCGCCCATAACGTTGTTGCTGCTTGTTTTTTGACGCCTCCGCCTCCTTGTCCTGAATCCTGATGAATATTATTGTTATAATCTGGGATTATTTTGCAATTTCCATTTAGTAAAAGATCGATACTATTTAACTAAAAATCTTAGAAAGACTAATGAGAATTAATTTTTTTGGGATGGAGTATCAAGCCGGCAGCCGGGTACAAAAAATTAATTGATAAAGTCAGGTGGAACAATCCAATGATTCACAGTTGATTTGTAGGCTGTATCACAACCAAGCTGTTTCTGTAAGATTTTGAAAGACACAGTGTTTAATCTAGATTGTTGAATAATAGCTATTTATATAAATAGCATTAAATAACAAGTACAATAAAGAAAGGCTTTATTGTACGAATAATTTTATGACCGAGCGAGCTTGCGAGCGAGGATATTAAATAATAAGTCAATATTCAATAAAGCCTGTTTATGTTAGCGTAATACCTACGTAATGTAAATTTAATGCTCTCACGTAAATTTCCATCTCGGTGATAAATAAAATAAATAATTATTATACCATTTTTCCTTTTAACAGTTCCATATTTTATAAACTGTGCTCTCATGGTATCTTGCTCTAATTTTCTTTTCTACTCAAAAAAGTCTTCCTTATTATTGAATGTTAAGTTCTTGGGGTCTAATAAGTTGTTTCCGTGAAAATTTTTGTAATCTGTAAAACAATAATGTCTTTGCTGTCTGTAATAAAATCACAATTTAATGGGCATCTTATGGACTTCATTATTTTTGTAGATTTATTTTTGTTGTGAATTGTGCTCGTGCTCTCCATGTGTTTTTTTAGGTGAGACTTTCTCGAAAACTCCCTCTCATGTCATTGATAATAAGAGAAACTATCGAGTTATAATTAATAATTTTGAGTCAAATAAATAAAGAGACGGTAAACAAAAATGCTAGTGAACCGCCGTTTGTCGCGTTGCGCCAAATTTTAAAAGTTTCGTTCGTACATTTTCGACCATTTTCGTGGCGTTGCCTCCGTGTGATCCGCAGACGCTTGTATGGAGACATCGCGGCCCTCAAAAATTTCTCATCATATCTATATATAAAATTAATGCCATTTTTCGTTGTAATTTTATAACTCAAGAACGGGCTCACCTAGCCAAAGCAAATGTTTAAGCTTTGTTCGGACTATTTATTCGATGGTTTATGTGAAGTTTGCACAAAATCGGTCGAGCGGTTCTTCATTTATCACATTTTTTGTAATAAATGAATTATTCAATAAATGGAGGATCATTTTGTTAATGGGGATTTTGCTGTCAAATTGAAACTTTTTTCAGCGTTGACAGTACCAGCATGTTGTTATGTCATTTATGTGGTCATTTCATTACTTATTTTATTTATTTATGAAAAAAATTTACTAAGCCCGCATACTGCACCATCTCTTATAACCGATACCAAGTTTATTTTGTATTTTGTATACCGCGCCATCTCTGATACCTGGAACGAAGCTCAGCATTGCAGATACAGTAGAACAATGCTGCTCAGGAACTGGAGCTATTTCGAACAGAACTATTTCACTATTCCGATCAGATAGAGTGGTGCAGAAAGAGTAGATCAGATAGAGTAGTGCAGATAGAGTAGAACAGATGGAGTAGTGCAGTGCATGCAGTGCAGATAGAGTTAAATAGGGCTGCGCTAGAGATTTTTTTTGTTTTCTTTACATTCTTTGAACATTCCTGTGCCTGAGTTTATTTATTTGGTGGTACACTTTACAAGAATAATGCCCACAAGCTGCCTAAAAAAGGATGATGTAAAATTTTAATTTTAGGTGACTTCTGATCCAGAGAGTAAACATTAATTTTCTTCAACCAAAGCCAAATTCACCATAAAAAAAAACTGAATTTAATTCAGCTAATAGATACATTAACACAACATTTAATAGGTATATTTAATAATTCAGAGGCGGTACGAAGTTCGCCGGGTCAGCTAGTCTTACATAGAATCTAAACTCAAAGGATCCGCACGCACTCAAACTAGATTCAAAAAATTCTGTCATTATGATGAAATTCGAGAATATTTAATTGAACTATTTGGTGATCGACGAGATCTTTCTCAAATCTTAGAAGAATTAAATAGGTACATTAAAGCAAAGTAAAATTGAATCAGTGCAAAGTTATTTTAATCGTATAGAAACCCTACAAACACTGGCTCTAAATGCCTGTTCCTTCCAAAATCACAATGAATCAGTAGGTATAATTTTTATGATAAGGGAAATCGCATTGCAACGGTTCATCCTCCACTCAAACGACGATATTTCCAGTTGTTTACGAAGTGCTAAACCCAAAATTATTAATGACGCGCTCACAGAAGCGATCATAGAAGAAAAACATTTGCTTGTCAGAAGGTCCAAATATGTCAGCAATTCTTTTGAAAAATATTGCAGTTCCTATAAAAAGAAAGGTCATTCATTCAAAGAGAGTTACTCTAAAAGTCGAAACACCGTTCATTTCAACTCATCACAAGGGCAAACTTATAAATCTAACACTCCTTCAAAAACAAATTCTTGTTCAGATCCTTCTACTTATTCAAATTATAACAGTAAATTCTGTAACTATTGAAAGAAAAAAGTTCATATTATTACTGAATGTCGCAAAAGGGAATATAATAATAAAAGAAGAAATTCGGTGTCCAATCTAAATAATCAACAAAATCAGTCTTTAAACACCAACCAGTCCACAGTGAGTGTCATATTGCTGGACTGAATAAAACGAAATTCTGGCACATCTCAATCTGAGAATCAATCTCAAACTCAAAACCAAATATCTGCAGAAATGAACGCATTCTCATATACTATTAGCTCTAATAATAATATCTGCTACATTTATCTCGATATAAATGGAAATCTCTTCAATTTCAAACTATTGTTAGACACTGGTTCTAACGTCTCGTTAATTAAAACCTCTAAACTGAAATCAGTTTGTTTTATAATCCTTGACAGGAAACGTCATTAAACGGTATAAATTCCAATGCAGCTGTGAACTGTAGGCAGCACATTTTAAGAGAATAAAAATTGCAAAATATTACTATCAAGAAGAAATTTCACATCATTCCACAAAATACTGATAGTCCGTTCGATAAATTAATTGGCAACGATCTGAGGACGCTGAATTAAATTATACAACTCTCGAACTGAAATTAAAATGTTTTCCATTACCATTAAAAATGTATCTTAACTCTAACTCAAGCAATGACAATGTAAACTGTAATTATATCCTACAGCCGCGATCCGAAACCATAAAACGCATAAATGTTATCAACGGTAACCAAGTAAAAGAAGGCTACTGTTGCGATGCAGTAATTTTAAAAGGAGTTCACTTAGCAACAGCTATTTTAAAAATTGATGAAAACAATACTGCTGTAACTACAATCGTAAACACTTTGGAAAAAGCCGTACAAATAAACTTTATCTACAAGCGTTTGGTTATGACGTTTTTACATAACCATTTTTCTAGTATTTGAGTTAGGAGTCAGGAGATTCATAACACAACTAGTGGTGTTATAGACTAGGTTATGAATTCATAACAGAACTAGTGGTGTTATGGACGAGGTTATGAGTCTTTAACACAACTATTTTTGGTGATTTGACAAATGTCAAAGGTAAACCTGTAAAGGTGAAATGAAGGTAGACAACTATTGATGAACGGAAATAATTCGAAAAATATTCTTATTTTTCGCTTTGTAGATAAAACGTTGTACATCACACGTGCGTTTAAACATGATTACAAAACTCGTGTGATTAGAACGACTCGGTATACGACCTCGTCGTTCTAATCCTTCGTACTCGTTATTGTAATTATGCTCATAA